GTTTACTCCTCTGCTACTTTTGAGCCGTTTGCTATTGCCCTTCGTTCTACTGCTGAAATGAACACCTGTAACAGGCTTTATTTTTTGCGCAGTTCTCATTTTTGCTGCCGTTGTCATCGGCACTGTATAACGGTTGTCGTTATCGTTTTCCTCGTCGCTGTCGTCGATGTCGTTGTCGTCGTCGTGTTACCGTTGTTAATACCGTGTTATCCTGTTACCGTCGTAATACCGTTGTTATTAGTATCATCATCTTTTCCCTCAATCAAGATCAAAGTTTCACACGTCGCTCTCTTTGGAATACACACGTTTCGTTTCGCATATACCCATTCAGTTTTCTATGTTGTTCTCAGTCAAGAGGTGAGATGGACAGAGTCTAGTTTTTTCAGTCACTTATTATCCCTCAGCAACCTTGCCAGCTTTGCATTGGATTTAGGGCGTATTTTCTGGGTTTTAAAAATAAGAAAACATTTAATAGCGCTCAGAAAGAAATATTTTTCGTCCCTTATAATCCGATACTAGAATTCGCTTGCTCACCAAAACACTCTTGGAACCGTTGTGACTGCGTTCTGCGCTAGAATCTTCGTGTGCACTCCAAAATTTAATATACATTGCGTACATCCCTCTATTTTGACAGTATGGGAAACTCGTTAACGGCTAAAGATTTAAAAAGCACACACGAAGGTTTTTAGTATTTAGGGGTTACAAAACTCCCAACCAAATAAAAACCAGTAGAAGTAATGATATGCATTTTAGACGAAAGAGCGAGACAGATAAATCCGGAACCAAAGGCAATTCAAAATGGCTGCTTTATTTGTCTTTTATACTTTTTGCACAGCCTGAGACTGGCGAGTTTAACAAAATCAAACGAACCAGGTCGTGCAGGGGTATAACTTATGACTTATCTACCTCGAGAACAGCTTAAACAGTTCCTTTTGAATGTCATTCTTAAGGAAAGAATAGAAAACTGGATTGACAGCACTGTTGGCAATCAGCACCAGATAAACCGAATATATCACCGTCGTATCGAAGGGACATGCATTGGTGAGATAGCAGAAACAGCGGTAATTCCCTCCGAGGTACGTGATATTGAAGGCGGTCATCACCAAGATAATCAAGACAGTGGAATTCCTGTGTTGTGCTTTAGATGCAGCAGGTGGGTGGATGTTTGATCCATTCGTAGCATGGTTGTAACGGACCTGAGCGATCAGATCCCTGGTCTGACGGTTGACATTCCAGGCGATGCGAAGGAGACGGGACGTCGCAGCGATAAAGATAACAATGGGCACAATCTGAAAAATGAGTACTCGAGATATTTCCACGAACATGGTAAAGGTCGGATTGTTGCTGTACGTGAACAAGGCAGGGAAGAAGAAGAGTAGAAATGGGCCACTCCAAGCCATGATAATCATCGTCCGGACAGTTCCCTTCGTCATGAGCGACATGTAATGCAGAGGCTTAGTGATGGCGAGGAAGCGGTCAACTGTCATGGCGAAGAGGTTGGTGTTAGAGCAATAGAAGAACGCGAAGCTGACTTTGAAAAAGAGACCGGCGTGGGTGAGGTCGACAGTGTACAAGAATTTGGCACCAAAGAGGGGTGGAAAGAACGCTAAACCTACGCAGAGGTCGGCCACAGCCAGCGATAACATGAACCCATTGGCTGGAGTATGGAGGCGTGGTTTTGTAATGATGAGGTAAATGACGAGACCATTGCCAATCACTGTGACTAAAACTAGGACCCATCCACTTACCCAGAACCCCAAATCCTGCTTGTTAACTGTCCAAAAAAGCGCAAACAAGAATGGTAGAGGACCAGCATTTATAAACGTAGCTCCATTTTCCACCTTTAAAAGCACGCACAACCCACAATTCCTCTATTCGCTCCGACGAAGGGCTAACGCTCGAAACGTCAGCTTTTGTAATCGTTACGGTGGCCAATTTACCATTTCTACTTTGTTGATATATCCAAATTATTTCATCAAAAAAGCTGGCTCATTTCTGCTGATAGCAGTGGAGTTCTTGAATAATCCTCTGCGACTGACTTCTGGCTGTCAATTTCGCGATTTTTGTGAGCATTTTTAGGCGCACTTTACAGAAGTCAGCTTACAATGATTTCTTTGAACGCTATAATGAAAATTTCATCAGTTAAGTGGTGTCTTCGTGAAAACCAATGAAAAATCACAAAAACGCACGAGAAAAGCATGGACGACTACCGAAGGTGATTGAAGTTTTCTTTGAGACCGCAAATGCGCGCGGTGTTCCCCTTCGGAAGGACGGTTATCAAACTGAGCACTTGCAGTTTTTAAACCTTTAATGAATTGTGATTAAAATCTGTCGCGCCCGCCATTCTCATAGAGTAATTGGAACACGGAAAAAATGGGCTTTCACATAAAGCAGTCTAACGAAACATTTTTGCGTCTTCTTGATCGAAAATTTAAGATTGAAGAGGTCCACCCATAGCCTAACTATCATTTTTCCTTCTTGTACATTCATGTTTTTTTTTTTTTTTTTTACGTAGAGATGTGGTCCTAGGACGCTGCAGATGTATTAGATACTATTATGATATACCTGATTAATATCTTCATTTGAATTAAAAAAGTACGGCGTTTTTAGTTTTGGAAGGTCCATTTGAAAAGAAAAAGTTATCATAATAATAGTCAAAGTCCGTGGGTAACAAATGATAATTTGACA